TTATGGTATGTTTTGGAGAATATTTTTACGAAAAAATAATGTTTTTTTTAATTGGTAAAGATAATCACCTTCCATGCGGGTTTAGAGCAAGTGAAATGCCAGATAAGGTTGAAGAATGGATCAATGAATTTCAAACCATCATTGAACATGTTGATGAAGTATTCATTGAAGAATTATTGTTGGCTCATGAAGTTCTTCCTGAAGATGAATCCTTTGATTTGACAAACAAAATTGAAAATGGACTAATAAAGGCATTAGAAACGTTCAAAAAATGGATGGATCCATGGATGCATCTACCTCTTTCTATATGTCGACTTGGAGGAACTCATGGCCCTGATTTTGCATTTGCTATTGCTAAAGTTGTAATAAATGCACATCTTCCTGATGAACCAACAAGTGTACAAAAAAAATACATAAATGAGTTAGTAAATGATCTAAAAACTGGGAAAAAAGAATCCTTTGGATTATTTCAGGCATTAGAGGATAATGAGTTCCAAGAGCAATTCCTGGCCTTTTCAAGATCCGTCTACACTGAATTAGTTAATTATCCATTGATATGTGAATTCGTAAATCATAGAATTTGGTCTATAATCGTTCATCAGCAACATCTTGAAGGAATGTTCAATAGATATGACCTCAAGACTCATCCTAATATGACTATAGATCTACAAGAAGCTAAAATGCAACTCACAGGACCCAAAACTCTTAGAACTTTACTTACCAAAGAGAGCTTGTCAAAGATTCGTTCGAAAAGGAAGCAGAAGGAAGTAATTGTTGAAAATAACCCTATTAATAGAGAAGAAACTGCATTTAAATTGCTTGAAAGGCTTCTAAAACCTTCAAAATAAAAAAAAACTTTATAAACTTTATATATAATGTATAAAACTATAGCTTTATATATTATCATCTATAATAACGTTGAATATTTATTTAAAAAATTATAGCAAAATATTTTGTTACACTATTTCCTTTTTTAGAGGAAAAAAGGGGGGCACCATAAAAAAATCCGCATATATCAAATACCCCAATTGGACATATGTGTCCAGGTTGTCCATTCAGGGGTAATTTTTGCGCAGCTTTGTTGGCAATGGACAATGGTCCATTCATGTAAATCATTGCCTAAATAAAAAATTTAACTAAAAATTTTTTTTTCCAATTTTTTTTAATTATAATGTATATAATGTAAAAAAAAAATGTCACATTCTGGTGGAAAACCAAAGCATTGTTTGACACCATACATAGTGGTTTTAAATGAACAAGCAAACAAGTCAAATAAATTTGCGATTTGCCAACCATGTAAAAATATGCTTGGTTATGAGGGTTCAATTGCTAATAAGTTTGTTAATACAAAAAGAGAGTG